CTATATCCCGTGGACAACAACAAAATTACTCCTTTTTTTGGTGTATTCAATTCATGATAACTAAACTGAGTTGTTAGAACATGTCTGTAAAAGATTCAAATACATAGAAAATATCTTAAATTAAATTTATATCTTAAATTTACTTTTTGTTTTTATCACCTAAGAAAAAAAATTTTCATTTTAATTTTTCACTAATACATATTTCAAATAGTTATTTAAAAAGTTATAATACAATAAATAAAATATTTTGATATTAATATAATGATATTAGCTAGACAAACTGACTTCGAGAAAAGTAATTTTTTTTTCTAATGTTGATATACTGAAATAAATATATAACATCCTAGAACTAGGTTTGATGGCGATTAACATAATGCTGTAGACTATGTCATAAGAATCAAGAAACATCAGAACATATACTTATGTATATGCTCTGCTGCAAACAGACGCAGCAGAGCATATAGGAATAATAAAGTATTACTGCAATTGCAGACCAGTAATATAAATTTCAAATCAAAAATTATGTTAAACTCTCGGATATATAAGTAGTTGAGAAATGAGGATTATATAATACAGTTTGAATTGAATTATAGATAGTAAAGTATCAATCTCTGTCATTTATATTGAAATTTTATAAAACCAATTTTAACCAATTTTGTGGTTACTCAAAGTCTATGTGTCTAAATATATAAATAAATATATATAAATATCGTTCTTTATGTCGTTCTTTAAATATGAAATCAGAAGTTATCAGAAATTCTACTTCTATATGGTATCAGAAATTCTATATGGTATTACTTTATTTATTTTACCTAAAACCATCTCAAAAAATATTAAAATATTATTGCAATTATTTATTAAAGTAGGAACTTGATAAATAATTTTATTTACTCTTTAATATATAATTTTTCTTTAACATAACTTTTTAGTCAAATTTAAGCATCTAACATCAGTTCTCTACGAGTAGTGAAATTAAATATCTCGTTAACTTAATTTCAAACCCAATTTTCATAACTTCCTTGAAATACAGCAACTAGACACCCACTGTTAAATCCTTAATGTTAATTAAATATTACGAATGTTCAAATTTTTTTTTTTATTTAAATTCCTTCTCAAGCCAAAATTATGATTGAACATTTTGAAGTGGCTGTGCGTTTATAATTCCCCCTGTTGCAGTTGGTACGAATGCCACGCTAAATCCTAGTCAGCAGCTGCAATTCATGGAGTGAGTTGCGGGTGCAAATGGTTTAAATTTGATGTAGTTTCGAATTCATCAAAGGGACTCGTTTGAATTTAACTTTTTTGGGGTTTGCTCAAACAACGTATTATATCCGGTCAAATGCAACATGTTGCCAGGATTTGTTTGGTTAATTTTGTTATTGTTAAAAAACACACCCTTAAGTCCTTTTGTCAACCCCACAGCCAAAGAACATTGTTTAAGCCAAACCCCAGACTCTAGCTATTCATTAATACATATTTTTGATTCCCTTGCACGCGTACTGAGTGGATTTCAATGTTTTTGTTAATAAAATTTCACAATTGAATTCATAATTTACAGCAAAAAGGATATTCATAATATAAATTATTTTAAATCAGAGAAAATAATCTGCCATTTGTTTTAATGTAATGGCCACGACTTTAAGGAGTAGATAAAATACTGAAAAACTTTGGTCAAGTTCACTAACAAAGTATTTAATTTATATTGATTCCATTGAAAAAACTAAATACTTTCAATTCAAGGCAACTAGGATTTTATTACTTTTGATAAGAATATTTAAAACTACACTGCCATTATATTAAAATACGTTCTTATCAATCCATCAAAATCCTAGTAGGAAATAAAAAATTTGCTTATTGTTTAATCCAAGTTGTCGAACAATGCCCTCATGTCACGCACTTACCATAAAAAGCGCAAGTGGCGCCTATTGTTCCCCCAACTACCAATAATTCTCACTTAAACATAGTACATAATACTACGTCTGACGGCAGCCAGTCTGATGAATAAACAAACGACCTGATGTTTGCCCCTTTTTCTAGCTTGTTTTCAGTTATCTTTATTCTTTCACTTCCGTTCTTTTTTGTTCTATATTTTTGTATTAATACTACTTTGTATTGTCATGAATTTTTTATTTTCCCTAACACGCTTCCAAAATGTGTTTTGTTTTCATTTTTGGCGCCGAATGTATCAAATTTTTCATCAACTTTTATTATGTGTAACAAATCATTGCATCAAAATTCCATTAATCAATTTCGTGCATACGCCAAACCAAAAAGTACATTTCTCATACAATATTTCGATGAAAATAAATAAGGAATTGTTAACATTTCGTCTTAAACTACAATTCATTCCATTAATCACTTCAACAGATACATTTCGTAACATTTGATACATAATTTAATATTAAAAATCATTCCAGAAACAGAAACAAGACATATTGTAAAATATAGATGACATGAAATTTTTGCAACTGGAAACGTCTTCATTTTAAAACTAATTAATCTCGTACTATCTAGCAAGAAAAATATCATATAAATCTCTACCTTAGAGTTGCCATACACTTAATTTTGTAGCATCATGGTGTAGGATAAAGAACACCGGTGACAAAAAAATATATCACCTATATATTTTGTTCAACATTTGGAACGACTGCCCCATGCTTCTATAATTTGTTAAGCTCTTGAAAAACAAAAGTATGGTTCTTATTAAAAGCTAAGCTGTAAGCACGCAAAATCTTACAATACGCGTACTAGTAGTAAACATAGACAAAATATACATAAGTCCATACAAATATCAAAATACTACAAGATTACTATAATAATAAACATAGCTGCAATACACAAAAGTATATACATATAACGAATTACAGCAATCTTATTAGATATAGTAAGTGGTTTAGAATGGACATAGGATACTTCCGTTAACTACGATCCGACAATCTCTTCCAATATCGACTACAGTTTCACCTTCTTAAACATAATTTTTGTATTCACATCCGCACAAGGAAATCCTGTTATAAAAGCAATGTAATACCAAATGGCGGCTTCGAAACATACACATACACCTTTATACTTGAATATTAAAAACGTAGGTGGAATATTATTCTTCGAAAAACTCAACCTCTCCAACTATATAATCATATGACTACTAGATAGTAGTTGTTGCCATCCATCGTATTATTTAATGAGATCGTCTCAATAGAATAATAGCTGGAACATATTTGGTAACAGCCAAGCGATTGGTATTTTCGCAACCACTGAACATGCCTCAGAGAGTAGTATAACTTTTAGTGAGATATAACTGCTTTCAACTCATTTATATGAAATGGATAATGGGTAATAGATAATAGGTAAATTCCTGGCATCTACTCTGTCACTGTCATTGCCGTTTCAGTTGTCCTAAGACTTTTATCCAATTTAGGATTTCGTTTCCATAAATATTGGTCCGAAATTCTGTTAATGTTGTAGTTGTTATTGTTTCTACTGTTATCATTTGTTTACATATATACAATAGTATGAGTGCGAGTAAATGTCTCGCACTTTTGCTGTGAACCAAAATCATTTTTAATATAATTTTTCTGAGAACAGCTTTAAAAAATTATAAAAAAAAACTGTAGTTAGTGCTTGGTATTCTATTTTAGTAGGCGCTTTTCAGGATTTATTTGGTATTTTATTACTATTTTAAAATACTTTTATTTATATATCATAATTTCCCAATAAGTTAGCAAGAAATATATCAGTCAGTATGCTAAAAAGTATACTAACCGACGTTTTTATTACTATTTCTATAAAATTTTATTTTTCATAATTTTGCAACAAGTTGACAAGGAGTTTATTATTGATAAAGATATACAACAGAACTGAAATGCAACATTCACTTGAATACACTCATGATATATCGCTATGGAATTTCAAACCAAATAGCCGAATCCTTCAATTCCATTAATAATTCCAAGATCCCCTCTGAATCGTTTTAATTCATACTCTACAGTGGCATTTAAACTAAATGACGCATCTGTGTTTAAGTAGATATAAAAAATAATAGTTTATTTATTTATATTTAAAGACGTAGTTCCACAATTTGTAAATACAATTCCACTTAGCCATGAGCATTTTACACTTTAGAGCTGAACTTCATCCCAACCGTTTGACACTTTCACTTACAAGTATTTGAGCAATTTATGTGGTGTCTCGATGTCTGTCTATGCCTTTGTGCTTATCCATCTGCGGCTGTGTTCAAGAGATATATATGCTTATATTTTTTATCGATTACACTCCAACACTATCAAGAGTGTTGACATTATAGTTGATGACATGTGATTTATTGTCTGCAACATTCGCACAATTTGCTGCAAGTGTCTGCAGCTGTTACTGAAGTAAGTTTTATGCGCATAACTTTTATCTTTCCGGGTGATATCCAAACCCATGCCCATACTCTACATACTCTACTCGTACTCACACCCAACACTGTACTCGTTCAATTGCTTTGAAATTGTATACGAAGCTCAGTTAATGTATCGCATTTGCTTCTTTTTTTTCTCACTATTTTGAAATGAATGCATTTTATTTCTCCCTGTGTCTATGAATTTTATTATATTTTCAGAGGGGGGCAACCAACAATGAAAGCAACCATGCAGCAAAAATTCTACTCTGAGCTGAGTTAATGATTTTCAAAAGATTTTTCCATACAAATACTCGTAATATTTTTATTACTAGATTAAAAACTGGGAATAAAAAGAACGTTTTCTTTTGTTACGGTTCGTGCTCAGATATATATATTTTAATACTATTTGCACTATCATCGCTGCAAAGCACGACTAATTGAAATTATTCATTATGGACAATTTAAAGATTTAATTAACTTCATTGTTAAGCCGGGCAATTGTCAATGTGACAGCTCATGTAAATTTTGATTGATATAAACAAATTGCATTTATAAAATGTAGATCATTACATTTGAATAAATTTATTTATAAATTTCTTCTTTTTTTTTAACTTTACAGAGTCAAAACGGGTCGCCAACATTCGAAAAAGAACTGCGAGAACAACTTGAAAAGTGAGTATTTAAGTATTTAAAGAAATTGGTTTTGATTGATATAAAGAATTCAACTGAAATTTTTAAATAATGTCAATTATTATTATATGTACACTCCTAATCACGATATAAAAATGTGAATTTTTTTATATATGTATTTTATAAGTACCAATGAAAGCGAAGAAAGTTGATAGTTACTTAAGCCAGTAGCTAAATAAAGATTAATGAATAATAATTTATTCTTTTTCAATGCTTCCGTCTTCTCTTATTTTAATGGTTATTGATAGTTATTGATGGTTAAAGTTAGACTGTACACAGTATCCAGTAACAATCGTAGTATATATTAATAAAATACTTATGCCAGTGAATTATTTTGTTAGCTCTTTACTATCTAACTCAAGAGCTACTTAACATCCATATAAGTAATAAATAAAAAGCAATGGATTCAAAAGCAAAAAGGTTATCGGTTGAAAAATAAATATTTCTTAAAAGAATCAAAAACTCTGACAGGTCTAAATGATCTATTATTATAGAAATTTCGATCATTTTTTATCTTTTATTTATATGTTTTCACTTAGTTTGTTAACTGCTTTAAAAAGTCTAACACAGGCTTAGGCATATAAATTTAACTAACGTTGCTATTATACCCTTGAAGTAATAAGCGGCAATATCCCTCTTTAATCTTCTTCCTCGATGTTAAGAGGTTGTGCATATAAATAGAGACTCATGCAATGTTTTTGTACTAATTTTATTAACCGATTGTGTTACATAATTCTTTAAAAATATCGAAAAATACATTGTGAGTTATATTACATATCTGGTAAAAATCACATATGTTGGATTATCCATATTTATTACAGAAACGATGTACCGTTCTAGTTTTTAATTAATATCAAAGCTGTAGTAGAGTTTTTATATATCGCTAATCAGCCACTAAAACACATTAAAAATTCTTTTTGCATATAGAAGAGATTATATATACTTTTATCAATCTTCTGCAATCAATTCGACTTAGATCTACGTATTTTGGATGATCTGTGTAGATACAAGAAATTCGGTATAATACTGTATTTATATATAATAGGTAAAATTGTTATAAATTTCTATGTAATACATATTTAAAGTGAAGTAAAATAAAACTAAAATACTACAACTACTACTACTACATTTAATAGATTTCGTATCTGTTGTTAATTTCAAAATAACATATGTTTGTTTTGGAATGGATATTACCAATATCAACTTGTATAAAATACTCGCAATTCTGATTTTGTGAAATAGCTACTATTTCATAACTTTACTTGAGACTTTTTAGAAAAGTTCTATATTTTACATTTTATATTTACCGCTATGGATATATAGATTTTTTTTTATATAAAAAAAACCAATTCTTTATAAGATACATCTATACAATGACGAACATTGTTCTTAATTAATATGCCATAATTTATTTTAAATATGCATATTATTCCATCTCTTGTTCCATAAAAATGTTAAGCTTGATTGAAAGACTTTTTATATATCTTTTTAATGAAAGCTAATACATAGACAATTAAATTTGGGCAGTGCCTTTGAATTAAACAACTTAATAATATACATTGAAACCTCTACATTATTATAAGTTGATTACTATTCAAAATACTTTAAGTTTAGTCTAAAAATCTGAAATATTCCTTTTAACCAAAAGCTGAAGTATGAACTAAAATATGAAAAATGATTTGATATTGTAGAACTATTCTTTTTTTCTTGGGTACTACGATTTGACAACCGGTTTTGGTCATTTTCTGTATCTCCATATAGCTACGATATCAAAATATTGGACTTGATAGTTGAAATTTGCCCGTTTTCGAATCATAATATCCGTAAAATCTGAATCTGTACTTTTTTTAGGTTACTGATTTCGATATTTGATTTAACGAAACATCCTTTTATTTAGTTTTGTTGCTCAAACTATAAGGAGAAAAAAACCTCAGTGTTCTTTTCATTTGTTGAGCTACCCATCAAGCCAGCCATTGAATATACTTCCTTTCCGAAAAATAAAGCAAATCGTTCACCATATTTTAGGAACCGTCTGAATGACTTCTATCTGTTTTTCTTGTCATGCTTAGCACGTAGTCATATATGAATGGAGGTGACATACATTACTAAAAATGACAACAATTATTAATTTATTATAACAGTCAAGAATAATAATTATAACGACAGAATATTAATTTTAATTGAGTATTAAACTTATTACTCACCATTCAGCTATTTCGAATATTGTCCAATATATATTATCTACAGTCTTTAGAAATATTTCTTACATTTTATAGTTCCCATACAATTTTAAAACTATAAGCCACAAAGGTTGAACTTGAACCAGACTCACGTTTTAGGCTCCTGAACCAACCTCGTACTTGAATCACTTGTTGCGTCAATTTTTAAAACAAACACATAAACCACAGTTATATACAAATACATTTAACAGTTAATATGTGAAATGTGATTATAGTTAAATTTAATTATTTTTATATCAAATACAATATAATGCATTAGAAATATATTTCATACATTTTAAACATCTGTGTTAATAACTTACTTTATCTATACTTAAACTATATTTGTATGTTTACAATATTTCTTATAGCTGAACTTTGCGGAGATTGCACATATTTTAATAAAGCACTTAAGCAATTCTGTTCGATAAATTACAATTGTACCAGTTCCAAATAAAATGAAACATAAAGTCCAAAAATAACAGTAATTCATAAATTTAGCATTATTGGCTAAATTACATTTTGGCCGTTGGTGAACATAAATATACCTGATTGCACATCGTGACTTGGACTGCATTTGCACTTCAGACTAAATTTTATTTGACTATTGAATATTTCTATAAACTAGCTAACTGGCTCACTGTGGAAAATGCAGAGCTTGCAGAATCCGAATGCATTTTTTGTAAAGTAGACCACTAAAAATGAGTGCAAGTTGAGTTTCCATTATGATTTTGTATGAGTTTCGTTACCAAACACTTTATACGCAAATACTAACTACTGTAATAAATACTTCCTCCTAGCAAAACACAAATCCAAATACGAGTACAACAATTTATAGAACAAAATACAGTAAAAAATATTAGAAAGAGTTTCAATGTAAGGAACAGTTTTTCATTTTCTTCCTCTTCTTAATGGCGCATAAGTTTCATCAATCATGCTCCTTACCCATCCCAACGAAGCAATGAAAATTCGTAATTACCGTAATTTGAATTTTATGGCTTTCCTTTTGGTCAGTCAAATTACCAACACATTTCGAGGAGGAAATGCCTGAACCTAATCACCGGCAAAAACCGAATTTTTTTTTAGCTAAAAAGTGAACACAGCAAATGTACAAAGAATATAATTATGCGTACTGTACTTCAAATATTTAGAAATTTTTGAGATCTTATACATTTGTTAAGACTGTAAAATTATAGACCTTACACAGTTAGATTTAGAGTGAAATATACACCCCATTTGTGAGCTATGAAACAGCATTATGTCTATTGCTTATATTAATTAAAACAATTTTATACCATCTGAAGGATATTCCATAATTCCAGATTTTCACTCATTGCATAGTGATATTCACATATTTAATTATAAAAATGATATTTAATAACATTTAAAATGTTTATACAGCGATATTCTACACAAATTTGTTCTCTTCTTTATTTTGTACTTTTTTAGTGCAGTTAGCTTGCACTTCATTATTATTAAAACATTTCAACATTTTATATGTGGAAAGATTTTCCACTGAAATTTTTTATTTATCGTGTATTCTTGATTACTCAGCTGCTAATATGTTATTGTGATTAAAAAATAATATACAATTTAAGATTTCATTGGCCCTTTCGATTGCCATAACTCTTGTTTTTTTCTAGGTTTATAGTGTTGTCACTGACAGCTGTTTCAAATTTCATGTTAATATCTGTATTCGTCCAATAGTTACGCATATGTTTTGTGAGCAAATTTTGTTTACGTAGTAAAATATCTCCTACTAATATTTTGAGAACATTGTCGAAACCTTCGGTGACCAAGTTATGTCACAAGAAAATGTTTTTAAATAGTATAACTAATTCCAAAAAGACAGAGAAGAAGTCAAAAAAAAAATCCCTCTGGAGAACTCTTAAGATCAACTGATGAACAACACGCAAACGAAATTCTCAGATTAAGAGCTCAGAAATCGTCGGTCGACAAATAAAAATTGTTATTTCATTTGAATTGATCCAGACCATTTTAAAAGATATTTTAGCACCACATCAATGCACCATATTAGACCGCATTCCCTTTTCAAACCATTTCTTTGAATTCATTTAACTTAATTTTTGCATATCCATCATATTGGCTTATTTCACAACTATGAGATTTCTAATTATTCGTGAAGCTCAAGAAATCGTTTCAGTGAGACTATTTTGACACAATTGTGGAAATAAAAACCGAATTATTCTTCGCTGTGAACGGCATTCCGAAAATTGACTTTAACAAGTAAAAGACGAAGCACGATATCGGCAGGGGAATACTTTGAAGTCAATGTAATCGATTTAGAAAAAAATAATCATTCTAAAAGTTATAAACAATTTCACCTCAGTTTTTTATCAGTGTTATATAAAAGTCTATGGCAAAAGACAAAAGACATGGGTCACTTCGTAATCACTACAACAAGATTTTCCTACAAGATTGAAAAAGATAATTGACAAATGGAAAAGGATGAAAGAAAATGATTAAAAAACTAACAATCAACCCCAACTGTTATACTATGGTAAGAATGGAAAGATATTTTATTCTAAATGTATATGGATGAATTTGTAGAGTAGTAGTCCTTTACACAAACGCCAAATGTTGCTGCTGACCCCAAACACATTAGAAAGAGATCTACAATTGTTGATGCTCTCCGTAAATGCAAAGTCAAAAAATCAGTTGCATTTTATAGATTTCTTTATAATATTTTTGTTACAAATAGAATTTTTTAATTTAGAAGGGTTTGAACAGTAATGAAGAGACAATAACAAACATTTTATTTTTAATTTATTGAAATTTGGCTGACCATACAACGCTGTTTCGATTATTGCCAAGTACTCATCATCAGTGATCTTAGGAAATATTGGAATATTTATTTTATAAGTTTATAATCCGTATATAATTTGTTAGACTGCAGCTGCAAGACTAAGAACTCGTACCTGTCAAATAAAAAAAAAAAACTAATCGTGTTTTTCCACAAGCAACCAAGGCAGACTTTCTATGCTTAAGTTCCAAGCTTTTTGTCACTTTTATTTGTAAATGACACTAACTAAAGTAAGTTACCATCCTTTAAATTAGAACGAGCCTTATAAACTACAGTTTTATTTGTTCTCCTCTTCCAAATAATTGTCAATTCTATGTGAATTATTTTTTTCTCTCTTCGACCAAAAAAATAGCGATGTCGTGGGAATTATTTTTCTCTCTTCGACAAAAAAAAATAGCGGTCCCGTGGGACTTGTTTTTTCTCTATACTTCCATAAAAACTTATCTTCCAAAAATCATTTCCTGATCTAGGAATGTGTAATGAATATATTAGATATAATGACAGGTTTGAATGTTATTGTTCAAAAAATGCGAAGAAAATAGATAAATCTATATAAAATGTTATAGACAATGTTCCTATAAAAATTGAAAAAAGAAAATATCTCTAAAAAGAGTTAATTCTTCAAACTACAAAAGTGTATATATATAAACCATTTAACTTGTTATCAATGAAAACGAAATAATTATGCTTCGTTAATTTTAGTTTTTCCTCTTTTTAATATTAAATAATTAAAATGCATTTTATTTTATATTTTTAGTATGAATCGAGTGATGAAATCCAAAGATCGCAAGCAGATACAGACATGTCGGGATCATAAAGCTTTACAAGTAAGTCCCACACTTATGTAGTATATTGAAAAGTTAATATTACGTATATAAAGTATGGACACCTAAGGCATAGCAATATATGTATGTAAAGACCTTGTTACATATAATTGCTATATGCAGCCATGGCTGATCATCCGATAATTTTGTCTTTATTCCTTAGTTTTTTTTTCATATTTATCGTAATTCCTACTCACCAATAATTTGACCACTGATAGTAATTATATTCGCTTGTTTTTATCTACACCCATGCAGTATGTGTGTTTGTAGTAAGAAAAAATCATAGTAGTTATCACCCTTTTTGTATATATGTTTTTATTATAAGGACATGATTAGCGAAGATGTGATCTTCCTGGAACGCATCAATCAAAACTGCTGATCACAACTAACTTTTTTATATGATTATCTAAATACGATCCCTATTTCATCCTGAAGATATTTCTAGGAAGATAGTGCCTTAACATAATGAAATAACTTCCTGTAATAATTACTAAACACGTTTCAAACCGTGTTTATAAATAATCGGTTATAAATTCGTCTTTTAGACCGTGTTGCCTTACTATTACATTTGATTCATAACACTCATAGTAATTGTAATCCAAATTTTCATAAATCTAATATACATGTATACGTATGTATCTACTTATTTGGAGTATAATTTGAGAACAAAAATTAAAAAAAAAAAATACAAATTATAAATTAAATTATTAATTTAATGGATAAATTGATTTTATTTAGCAATATTCAAGTGCTTCTTTTAAAAGTTAAATTTAAATGCGTCTAAATCGTATTTTTATTAAAAAAACTCTTTCTGCAACTAAATAGAAAAATAAAAATCTAGAAAATATCCGGTAAATCCTCTAAAAATTAGTTCAAAACTGTTTACTTTCACAATTTGCCTTCGCTAACTGAACTTCTAAGTGACTTTTTATGATGATGCCTTTAAGATTAAATGTGATTTAAATCTTTAAGTTCTAAGTTAAGCCTTAAAAGTTGACAATTTGCAGGGTTTACACCATTTCTTGGGTTTTTGCGTGTGTAAATAGGGAAAAAGGTTTCAGTGTACGCTGTGATAAAATGTTTCCCTACTGCACGATTATTACGCATATAAATTGCTTTGCATATTTTCTGGCGTTTATCTGTTTCTGAAAATTGGTTATTTTCCTTTTTAGCGCTAAGTTTTCGTCTTCCTTTTGAGCACATTAAATGGAATTGAACGTTAAAGTATTCCGCTTGACTGACTGCATTCGTTGTTGCCACTGTACGTGTATTTATAGTCTAGCGGGGGGGATTTATTGGAGGTTATGTGCAGATTCCTTAGCATAATCGACAATGTTAGAAGATTCACTTCTATTGTTTTAAATTAAATATGCGCTACTTCTTTGTCTATCTGTCTATCTATCGTGCTGTATCTGTCCTAAGCAGCAGTGTTAATGTCAAGACTCTTTCAAAAATGCGATAAAAAAAACAAAATTACATTTTTTTTTCAATTTAAGTTTTTAATCAGCAGAACAGCAACAAAATTTTTATGTTAAAAAATATTTCTGGGTTTTATGAAAGATCATAAAGTAAATAACTTAGTTTATTTTAATTTTTTAATAAAAACTCTAATGAAGTTGGGCCTCTTTGGAAAACAATTCGAATTTTGTTCAAAATTCAATTTATTAAAAAAAAAAAACTCAAATTTTAATTTCATTTTTATTTGTCTTGCTTGCCCTTCCATTCTCGTCGTAAATTGTCTAATCATTATTTTTCTAATTGTAATCAAACAACATCTCTTAAACTGAATTGTTACATTAAAAAATTGAACTCACATTGCAGCTGACCTGTCTTCAGTACAACCAACCAAGGTCTATTGCTGTTAATCAGCAAATAAGTAAACAGAAGACGTTTGTTCACACTTCAACATTACTGAACGCGCTTCTTACTTCTTCTTAATGCCCTTCTTTTCATTTCGATTATCTTACTTAATCACAAAGGTACTCTACCACTTATGACCTCTGAATAATAGACAAGTAGATTAGTGAAATTCAGTTCAATATTTCCGGCAAGTCTTCGTTTTTTTCGTAAATTTTATTGAGTCTTTTTATGTTACTTTAAATAATTGTAACATTTAATTACACACGTATATCGACACTAAGTCCATTTGAAATGATTAGCAATGAAAGCACTTTCAATAAGATTCAGTCTAAGCACATGTAACCGTATAGTACACTAGCAATTTATAAAATATTTCAGTAAATAAATAAATATAATAATATATACTTACTTACTTACTGCTGCCCTTCTCTCCTAGTGCAGCATAGGGCCTCAACGATTCTTCTAAATCTTACTCTGTTGCCTGCTTCTCTCGTAATTTAGTGTGTGTGCTTTAAGCTCCTGGTTCACGGTTCTTCGCGATGTCTTAGCTGGGGCTCCAGGCCGGCAGCTACCTTGTAGATTCCAGCGTAAGGCTTGCTTTGTTATGCAGGATACTATTTTCCTGAGTGTGTGACTAATCCACTTCCATTTTCTTCTTATGATTTATATAATATATATAAAGGTATAAATACCTTAATATATAAAAATAATCGAGAGAAAAGATATACGACCTCCTAAAGGATAATCAACAATTCTTTCTTTTTACTGTTGTTCAAATATTATCATCTGCTCTTACCAAAAAATATATGTTTTCCCGTTAAAGGCCTGTTTATTCGATATTCGTATATTTCAGATGAAAATTAATACTTCTGCTAAAATCTTATATTCCTTATAAATGGCAACTCATAAATATTCTACTATTAGTTTCCTTTTTAGTCCAAACTTTATTTCTTATACTTCTTAAATAAAAATTACGTTTTAACAACATTATAGGTATAGTCCACTTCATAAAGAAAGGTCAATGGACAACAATAAATCCTATACTAAAAAAAAGCAGAACCTTTTTTGCGCCACTGTCCTTCATTACGGAAATTTTCAATTTATTGAAATATTTTTAATTTTTCAACATCTTTACATTTTCCATATACAGTCCATAATAAACTTAATTTGTTTTAAATAAATACTATATTAATTAAAATTCTTATTCTTTCTCCATATAGTTATAAGTTTCATTTAATTAACATCATCATCTTAACCGTAAATTGTTTTAATTAAAATTTTGATATAACAATTAATAAATGATTATTTCTTATATTAAATAAAAATGAAAAAATATATATAAATGTGACTTACTAAAACTATAATAAGTTTTTATAAAGGCCTAATTTAAGTTCACTTAATCACGACGTTTTAATCGAAAGTGTTAATTATAGGCACGAACACGCTACAAATCTCAAGTTCTCAGAGCTTCTTTATGTTCTATGATAACACTTCACCACCAAAATTATTAGCAATATATTTGGCCGACCTAATAATTTCAAAGCTTCAGATTCTAAAAGCATTTCTGTTCGCACCATTGAAGCAATACTAAAAAATTTTATGTCCTTATGGTAGTTCTATGATCGAACTAAAAACTTATTGAAGTTTCAAATATTTTATTCATAATTTACTTTAGTATTATATTCTCCAACTCCTATATCCTACATATAATTTAAAAACAGTTTTAACACATTAGATCCTGGTAAAGATGAATACTACAATATACTTTCACATATGAACAATCTTAGGTCACTTGTTATACTCAATTTGCCAACACCCTTTAAGTAACAAATTAATTTATATATATTATATATATATATATATATATATATTATATCACTGGTTTATTGGAAATTCTGATAATTGCAAGCAATGCAATATAACTTTTATATTTACTACAAATATAATTTTCTTTCTTCCTTTTAACTTTCTATGGCTTGTATTTATCTTGTTACTAAAACAGAATAAAACGCACAATGCTGTATATATTTATTATGTAAATATTTCCTTTATTATGTTCCGAACAATTTATTGACCCGAAAACTAGATACATGTCTCTTAATAACTTCTTCCAAACTATATTTTCTAATATCAATACTTTTAAATTCAATTTGTGGTTACTGCGATGTATGAATGTCGACGCTACAAAAGTATCTTCAAATATTTAAACTCTTCGGATTCAAATTTCCGAACTCGAGTATTCTCATTCTTTCGATTATCGTAATAGTTTTGACGCAATAGAACAACTTCTAACATATAGTTTCCCCACTCATTAACGTGAGTCATACTTTGACCTTTACATAATGTTATGCTTACTCTTAATATAATATATATTCAGAACAATTTTTAATTAAATAGGGCCATTACCAATTTGACAACAGAATTTAGTAAATATCTACATTTCCAGTGATTCCCGATAAACCGAAATGAAATAATTCTTAATTATATGATTCTTATATAATTCTAATTATATAACAATGGATTTGTAAGTGACCTATTAATAGAACGATACATTTAATGATTTACAATATACGAAGCCAATATCTATTTAAAACTGATTTGGTGTAAAGGGCTCAAAAACTTGAACCCTATGACTTAAAAGAGTTCTCAACACTTTCAAAATATAAAAGAAATAAAGCATGAGAAGATCTATTCACAGCGGTTCTCAGAAAAAATGTAAAAATTTATTTATTAAGATATATACGTCCTAGTATATTTGTTTAGTTTCAGCAAAAAAAAATTTTAGATGGTTCCATTTAAACACCGATTACTTTAAGCACAGAGACATCAAATTAAAAACTGTTCACTGAGTAAAAGTTGGCATTTGGTCTAAACTATTTGGATGAATCATTGCTACATTATTTGAGTGTTTTTAACCTAAGGTCTTTTCACATAGACTTTTCTAAAAGACCCTATATCTGTTATATAAACCACCACCCACTTTCTAATTTTTAAATTATACAACGGTGAAATCGTTTCCCGATGCTAGTGCACGATCAATACTACTAACATACATAATATATTCAATTAGAAAAAATATTCATATTATCATTAAGATATGGTTATTATGTAGTATATAGGACGACTCATTTGAAAAATAATTTATTCCAATAATAATATATTTTAATTATGAACATTTTAAATTATTATAATATAAATTTTTCATTAATTCCAGACCCGCTTTGCACGACAGGAGAATTTTCTGCATGCACTACAACAAGAGAACAGGGCGCTACTGTTACGTATACGCCAATATGAACACTGTTTAGATGATGTAATGCGTAAAGTTGTTGATGCAATAGTGGCAGAAGATAATTTACGTGAAGAAGTAGTGATGCTCAAGAGTCGCGTACGAGATTTAGAGGAACAAAATGCAGCTCTTTCTGCTAGTCCAGCTAAGGGTCGTGACGAAGGTTATTGTACTATGAGTAGTGGTCAACCTCAACCATCTAATGGTCACCTTGAGGATCTTCCAGAAGAACCAGAACAATGGTTGCTTCCGGCAGAACCTTGTTCCACAGAGATGGAAGATTGGAGCATGTCTCAAGAAGAATTAGCTGTGATTACGCTAGATGATGAACGAGAACAACATCAGCAGCGACAAAATCGAGAAAATCATCAACCAAAACCAAATAGCGAGCATGACTGGATTTGGAATACCACTGATTTCCTCAATTCTACAATGTTAGGACCGGATCCTTCTACAGATGGTATTTCACAGCTTTTACAACAAAAGGTACAATTCAAATTATTATATATTATTACAAATATAAAAAATTTATTATTTTTTTTCGTAGATTGTTTATTCTGAGGATGAAGAAGTTGCCTGTACTGAATTCACAAATGATTTCTATAAATTAGTGAACATACGCTCAAGTTCAGCTCGAAGTTTGTACTCATATATTGAAGGTGAAACAGATGATGAAGACGATGACGACTGCGACGATTCAAGTTTTTCAGGAGTAAATGTATGCTTAAGAGATCAAACAATGAAAGAAGTTGGTAAAACACAAAGCCCTACACCAAGTGAAGCAGGTCGAGCACAAGTAACAAGTTGCTCGTCTAGTGAATCGGATGAATTATCTCGTTGTACAATGCAACAGGATATAATTGAGGAAAACATGGTGCAGGACATTTCTAATACAGAGCTTAATGAAATCGAACAACAAAGTGATATCGAAATCGAAGATGTTCAGCTGGATACTGAACTACGACATCTTAATGAAACACAATGTATTGAGAAAATAATTAAAAAGGAACTACATAGGCCACCACCGCTCTTAATGAAATCAAAGTCTTTATTAGAAGAAGACGAACCTGGTTGTATATTAAGAAATAATCAACGACGGGAAATTGAATCTAGTGTTGTACGTAGTGGAAGTGCTAATGGATCCATTTGTGCTAATAGTGTGCTAAACACAAATACGAATAACTTACCAGAACGTACATTGCAAAAGGCTGCGAACTCATGGCGAAAGAGTAATGGCTGGAAAAGAGTAACTTCACCACTTCAGTCACCAACTCGAGTGGTTTCACCAAAAACTGTAAGTAATTTAGTATAACTATTGAAACTGTGCCCTTTTTAATGGAAATTTTTTTTTTTCAATAACTTTTAGGAACCAAAAACAGAGCTCTCTAAACCCTTACAGACGGTAACACAAAAATTGCAGCCAACTAGAATACCAACGTGTAAGTCCTCACCACCGAGTTCTTACAAACAACAAATGCAACCAATAAGAAAATCAAAAATTCCTCCACCAGTTCCCGTGCGACGTTCCTATGCAAGTTAAACAGAATCATAATCTCAAATCGTGTTTGCGATCTAATATCATAAAAATTCATAAACGACTATATACTTAATATTTAGTTAAGTAAATAATAAGAGTTAAGAAAAAAAGACTTAAATGTGATATATTAAAAATAATATTAAAAAAAGAATTCATAATGAAATATAATTATATAAGGTATGTAAAAGTAACACCAATTTCGGAACTGCCTATAACTGTAAAATTGAAATTTATATTGAAATTAAGAGAATTAGAAAGACTTAGAATTTTAAAGCCTAAAACTGCCGATGAAACATATATATATAGCTATGTATATCACTCTTAAAATATTGTATTTTCACCACACTCCCCCGTAATATTGTGGAGTGATAAATTGGTTGCAAAATATTATTTTTATATATTGGTCTTTCCTTTTTTATGTTTAAAACATTTTAAGTAACGCAATTTTTTTTCGATATTCTAAAGAATTAAAATTAATTTTTTCAAATAGTCATAAATTATTTTTTATAGATTATTTCTTATCCAATATAAATTGTTTTCTTATTAATACTGAAAACAACTATAGTTCTTATCATCCATTTAATTAATGGAAGACATTCAATTTTTATATCCATTTAAATACCCAATATGAATTGTTATAAATACTGAAGATCCCTATAGTTCTTATATATATATATAAATATTATATAGTAAATTTATTTTAAATTCTGCACTAGTTTAATTCTTTAAAAATTGCGTTATATAAATATAAAAACATATATCGAAATTAATTTAATTTTATAAATTAAGATAATTTATAAAGTATAAATTAGACTATACTATAATTAACATCTTTAATCATGTTATATATTATAATCTCTTAGTTATATCATTCGAATTCATAATCTGACATTTTTAGGGATTTTATTTGGCTTATAATTGAATTCTCTCTTGTATAAACTATTAATTTCGATGTATAATTAAAAAAATATATATGTATTTTTACAGTACGATAATAAGCATTGACCCTAATTAACATTAATTAAATTTATATAATCATATATTACTCAAACAGTTAATTAGTTACTCTTATAGCTAGACATTTCTCTCGTAAAGTTACTAGAAACATAAACCATATGACATATGCATATGCATATAAGAACATTATATCAACCAACTACATAGAAACGGATAAACAATATAGATAAATAGTCTTCCGCACAAATTTATGACAAAACAAAAAGTAAATTGATTTGCGTGTTTTTGACATACCTTAAATTTAAAAAAAAATAATACGAACAGAAGTTAGTTGTTATACATAGAAAGACTTATAATTAAGTTTATAAACTAAAGTAAATATATGAAAAACTTTAGTTTAAGAAATAAAATAAAAAAAAATGCAGGTAGTGCCACAAGTTATAGAAGCACCTTACATACCGAGAAATAAAATATTGTTAAACATTCTGGCACTTTCATTGCTGCTGTTAATCAATTACTTGCATTTATTAAAAAAGAAATAGTTTTGAAAAAAACTTTAAAAGTTGTTTAAAAAATTTAAGATTATAAGAAATTTAATAATGATTAAAATAGATTTATGGTTTCTGTATATTTATATAAACGTACATATAATATATTATATATATTTAAATTATTTATTTACTTGTATATATAACATTGAAAAATATTAACAATAATATTTATATTATTAATAAACTATAAGTCATATGAAAAATCAATTAAAGATATATAATATATATATATGTCAAAACATATGAAATTCTTATACACAGAAGGTAACGAATATATACATAACAAAAATCTCCTAAAATTGCAAATGTATTTTTCATAGTTTAGTGAGTACAAAAATTATTAATAAAAATAAAATTAAATTATATTAAATCATAATAATTATAAAAACATTTATGACAGGATTTGTATATAAATAAGCATATATTTATTTAAAAAAGGAATGTAAACAAATATGTGTATAAATTAAAACCATATTAATTTATTTAAAAGTTAATAAACCTTTTTTTTTATTGCATTCTTATTACTTAAAATACTAGTTATTATTTACGATACTATAAATTGGAAATCTAAAATTAATCAATAGTTATATTCTTTAATATTGTAGGTATAGTTAACTTTAAACATTGTTTATTTCGCTGTTAAAAATGGATCTATCAGTTATTTAATATTTCTTCTGGGCATTAGAAACATGAAGTCTGGCCGATAGATTTAATTGTATCCCCTGTTTGAAGATATTTTCAAATAAATGACAAAAATGTCTTCAGAACTAAATATTTATTTAAAGGTGAAGTGTGATTAAGTTTCCAAAAATATTTTGGACACATTTCTTGAAAATTTGTACCATTAATATGTTGTTAAGCATACGCAATAGCAAAAAAATGTGCTCTCTTAATTTAGCTGATTTTTATTTTTCTCATTTTTTGACATTGCTATGAAATAGAACTTATACAATAGAATTCTCCACTTAACTACATTGTTACATTAAAATATTAGCTATTTCATCAAATCCAATTATATCTTAATAAGTGTATATCGTTCTGCTATATACACGAATATTAGTTAAAAACTATGAAGTTGTTTAGGAATATATATTTCTATGCTTTATCGGCTATTGTAAAATCGTCAACTATGATGAACTAACAAGTATGCTTCATTATATTATGATATATGAGGAAAAAATTTGTTGCATCGGGATTTTATGATCAATTTGTAATGAAAATAGCTGTTCATACGAATATATATGCTGACCGAAAGGATATCTGTCTCACATTAAGTGAGGCAGAGGTGGATTCTATATTCCTTCTTATTCAACTTATACTCCGAAAAAATTTTCGAACATTTGCTTACCAATGTTATTCAAGGTGTTAGAGCGAATGGTGTGCACAATAACAATTGTACCAGCCCCAGCTATCTATGAAGAAAGTTGGAAGAATGGCCGAGTCTATGTCAACAACAACAACTATCTAATCATATTGCTCATATCCTAGTTATCGTTACATAACATTTAGGAAGACTGAATAACATCTCATGAATGCGGTTTTATTTCCAGTATGCTTTTAAGGATGAACCATAACCTCACATGTTGTTGTTTTTTGGACTCGCTAAACATGCTTGTAAAGTCCTTTTAGGAGGTGTCGAATGACATTAAATCGTTGCTAGTGTCCCGAGTGATTCTGGGACGTAAATCCGTTCTTGGAACCATTACTTCATATGTCCCACTCCTTAGTTATACCCCTGTGGATCGGGCAGTTTCAATCCAAAAAAGATTTCAAAGTTATTTTATATTAAAAAACATTTATTAAAACATTTATAATCAAAGTAAATTAAAATAATTGTTTAAAAGGAAATTATAATAACTTAAATAATTATACCACAAAAACAAATTTAATTTAACAACTCTTTTAAGCTTTTTTCTAAATCTACTGCCGTTGGTCTACAATGTGGCTCACTATTCCAACAGCAACTATAAATGTTCTCAAACAAGATTTCTTTTTTCGGATTTTTCGCAAAAAATCCTTTACCAAAAATAATATCTAAATTGAAATCATTTGCTTTCTCTTCTCTGGTATTTTGTTTTTCATATAAACAATATTTTGAAAAAAGATTAGTGCCCTTTCGCCATAAATTATGAAATGGCGTTCTATACTTCCTATGACTTTTGAGTATTTCTGTGTTTTTATAATAATTTTCCTTGCTTGAATACACATTTTCTGAATTCGTTGAAAAATTTTTTATATTCAGTACTGAATTTTTAGATACATCAACTGAGTAAGTATTGCAATAACAATTTAAATGTTTTTTAATATTTGTGTTAGATTTTACTAGAGAAAGACTTTTTCTATTATCGGGACGTAGGTTAGTTTTTACCACTAAATAAGCAACAACTTCATTATGCTCGATCCAATCATAGGGTAAATGTCTATGATGCAATTGCCACATTGTTATACCAAGGGAGTAGATATCAGAGGATGGTGTTAACGTGGCATTACAAAGTGCTTCCGGCGACATATAACGTACAGTACCCTGGAGATTTAAATGCGTAATTTTATATTATTATGACAGTATTTTTTTTAGTATATATGATTGATAAAAAATTTTAAACTTTTAAGCAAGTAATAAATAATAAATTTTACCTTTGACTTGCTTTTTAAATTTAGTTGATCGTAATTTATTGATGCACCAAAATCACATAATTTACAAATATAGCCTTTATGTATAGGCTCTGAAGTCGCTTCCAGACTTCTGCTATAATCGACTAACACATTTTGTGGTTTAACATCTAAATGCAGTATATGGCGTGAGTGGCAATATGACAAAGCCGCTAATATATCCAATGTAATCCTTAATTATAATTTTATATAGATATCTTAAGTGATATGGAACAGAATAACTTACCATATTTTGTGCACTAATTCCAGTTCTATGGTATCTAGCACCATTTGTAAGCACTGTCCAGCAAATCGTTCCATTATTACAATACCAAAATTACAAGTTGATTCTATCTAGATCAGAAATACACGAAAACACACAATGAGTAGGGCCAAGTTCATTCATTACATTTTAGTACCTTTAAAATCTGTACAATATTTGGGTGATTCCAGCCCAAAATATTAGCTTCATTGTTCATAGTTTGTAAGTTCATATCATCTAAATTCCTAATAACTTTCACAGCAACTTCTTTGGCTTTAGTTTTAATGTGGAAATAACTTTCATTGTAATATTTATTCATTTCAATATAAATATATTTGATAATCAAATATCGTGCTATTATACCTTGAAATATCGCTTTGAATACTGTACCGAAAGATCCTCTGCCCAAAATATCACATTTATCATCTTTTGGTGGACCTTCTTTCAAAATTTCATTTCGGTTTGGCGTATTGAGTATGATTTCTTTTTGTTTATTGCAAACCTTTAATAATGTCATTTTGCAAATTTTTTTATTAAATTTAATTTAAATCTATTTTTTTGCCACATTGAAACAAATATTTATTCAAAGACAAAACACATTGCAATTATCTATTAACTGTTATTTTGATTTTGTTTACATCAGACTTTCAGTTCGTTTGACATATAAGCAGAGATCTCCAACATTTTTTGTGGTTCAACAGAGATTGAACTGAAACAAGCTTTATATCATATATATACATATATACGTGTACTATTAGAAATAATTTTTATTTCATACATTAAATCTAATATGTGTTTGGAAATATGGAATAATTATACAAGAAATGATGAATCTATCGTAAATTGTTTTATCGGCTTTAAAGCAGGCTCCATGAAGTACCTTACCACTATATTAGCGCTTAATTCAATCCTCCATACACTCTACGTAAGAATCATGTTATACAGGTGATCAAGTAATATATTTAAAATAATGTTCACAGGCGTATTGTAAGTGGATAAATTAACCATACAGTTTGCCTTATGAACACATTTAGAACACCCAAATAAAGTATGCATATAGCTGGAATGCAAAGGATTATTGAAATCTTCCACAATAGAGCAGTCACATACAAAATATAAAAGATCAGTAGATATTCCGCCATTTCTAAGCAGAGTGTCACACACTCACCAAGATTTCAGTCTTTTAATAAATATTGTAACGGGTCATTTTTTTTAAGAAACAATTCGTTAGGAGATTGAATATACCCTTTAATGAATCTTGCCGCTACCGTTAGTAAAATAAAGAAACTGTTTAACATAATAACTACTAATTTCCTTAGTCAATTGCAATTTACACTTAAGTGGATTCCTTGACTCCACAGAATAACCCAACAAATACCATATGAAAGAGCCTATTTATACTGTTGAAGCATATTATTCTTATTATACAATTGTCAGAGCTTATTTAAATAACTAATTAATTATTTTTTTACTAATAATTTTTATTACTTTTGATATATCGATTTTTTTCTAATATCGACATCATGAAAATAATTGACAATTACATTTTTAACATCCATCAACATTGTTAAATACATTATAGTAGATAAAGCAGGCAGTGATGTGTAGAATTATCGCATTATTTGAATCTGGTTCTTGATCTAATGAAGTGCAATGCAAGGCAAGCGATATTTAGCTTCTACATCGGTTTAATTTTTTATACTATGTGTAATGTATATTTTACCGAAATCATTTTCAAAATATTTAAGTTATTTCTACAGCTAGATATTCCATTTCATACACGTATATGTTTCATACAATATTGCTTATATCATCGGCTTATCTATTTATTTATATGGATTCCTTAACATTCCAGACACCAACTACAACGAATACGTAATTTAATGAATATCCATTTGACGGAAGATAGAATTCTGTGATTGACTATTCTATTTAACAAATCACACAATATATATTATTTATTATGAACAACTCATTACATGATTCTAAATGTTTTACTCTAATCATATGTTCTTTAAATTGGACATAAGTTTAGTTAGACATTGTTTCGGTATCCCTCAGGAATTTGCTTGTAAACTCCATTTGCATGGGTGGTAAACGGCACTTAGTCGTCGTAATTGACAAATGGATCCGGAACATAGACCTGACCGTTCTTGCAACCGTGTTAAAATATTCGTTATATTCAACTTTTACTGTACTGCACTTAAAGTCTATGGTTTGAGATTTTTAGCACATTGATCACTAAAATTAAATAATAAAAATAAAATACAATTTATAATCATTATGCAAGGTTAATTGTTTTATTAAATTTTGGTCTCTTTAAATATTCAAAAATATTTCAACGCATCTTATAAATAATTAGACATATGTGACATATGAAAACTCCACTACAACATCACCAAAATAACTCAATACTTTCTGATTTTATTAAAAAATTTATATTATTAAATTTTTTAATGAATTTATCATTTTAATTTTGTTTAACATTCATAAAAGCTCTTATTTCTAACAGTTTTTAATTTTTTCATAATTTAGATTCTGTTTAACATTCATAAAAGCTCTTAATTCAAACAATTTTTAATTAATATTTATTATTGTTATAAATATTTTTTTTGTAATGAATAAATTAAAACAAAGTAATAACGAAATTCAATTTTTAAATACAACTAGAACACATAAAGGGAAGAAAAAAAACATATACATTAGAATACCTAATAAAAACTAGCACTAATGAGGAAGACTATGTACGTCTTTTATGAAGTTCCACGGTTTCTAAACGTAATTTCTGTAAAAAAATTAAAACTATTTTAGTAAAAATTTTGTAATGAAAATACGCACATAAGACTAGACTTACTTGAAATACTTGTTGTATCTTATCAGTAATTAACTTTCTTGCCACCGGTTCTGGCACACTTCTACTTTTTAGATCGCTTATGAAATCATTTAAATCTATAGGTTGTCCTATATTGAGCGTGACTTTTTTACGCCACTTCAATACATACGGTTCAACATTTGGCAGTACTTCATCCATACCTTCATGCCACATAGGCAATATGATCGGTATGCGAGGTGATTCATATATAATACGTCCTACACCCCACTTAAGGCGCATTTCGTCTTTTGTCATATTAACTTTACCTTCTGGAAAGACATGTACCCAATGACCCAAAGCACATTTCTGTATACATAAATTGACTGCATCTTGATATACACCAATGCCGCGTACTACTGGAATGCACTTTCCTTTGGAAAAAATTTTATTTATTTTATTGTTAAAATTTATATGTATTTCTATATGTTAAAGTCATACCATACATAAAGAAATAAGAATGCAATTTGTTTGTAAAACATATGTCATGCGCCGCCATCGACCAACGTATTTTAAAAGTGTTACAAACATATTTTACTGGCAGCACACCTGCAAAAAAATATATATATAGTAATTAAAAATACAATAATTATTGTGATAATTTTTTTTTAATATATTGTAGTAAAATTACATACCCCAAAGTCCTGGATCATCAAAACATGAGTGATGGTTTGATACTGTGACCAGAGGCACACCTTTAGGTCTTTTCGCTACTAAGTTTATCAGTCTATCCTTGTTATACACCACTGTTCTGTTCATGAAAGCTGTAGAAAAAACAGTAACAGAAATGTATAGAGTTCTATACATTTATAAAAATTTCAAATTAACTTAAAGCAATAACTTAAATGGTAAAATGATTCTAGAATTAATGACATTTGCAATTCCAAATAAATGATATGAGCATCGTGACTGATTAATTATGCGCACTAAGCTCCTAAGATATAGTGAACTGTACAAATCAAGAATTCTAATATTTATCAAGCAAGACTTAATGCAGTTCTTTCTGGTCATTAGTGTATAGGAACCCACGCAGAGAAACTGCGCATTACTCATAATCCTCACTGCAGAAGTTGTGGAAACCCGCAGAAAAAAGAAACCATAATAAATTTTCCCTGTAAATGCCCGGTTTTGGATATATCCAGAAGAAATGGATTTCTAGAAAATACTTCTTTGACAGTTTATCAGACTGTTCATCGGTAAAGAAGCGAGACCTATTCAATTATCTAAGTTCGACGGGATGGATTTAGCCTATACTCTCCTATATTAGGGGTTCTTGCGAGGAATGTAGTAGCAAATCGACGAAAAATCACTAATTGAGGTACATGGAAATTATATAATGGCCTCCCCATGCAACCAACTAACCGACCATTTGTTTCTTTATTGGTTAGTTTGTTAATTGTTGCCCTGTTATTCTAATTGTATATAAAACTATTTAAAACTATAACTGCAAACTGAACGGCACTTAGTCGTCGAGATTGACGAGTGGTTCCGGGACGTAGACCCGCCCGTTCTTGGAATCATGGATCTTTGGTTATCGTAGGCAGTTTAATGCTTTTGTAATATATTTCTGTTTTCGTTGAATATTGCAATACCAAATGTTGTAAATATATATGCCAAATAAGTGCATGAAAGTTTTAAATAAAGTATCCATTTCTTTATCGGTTCTTTTAGAAACTACTATATTAAAACTACTAGAAAAGTTTTGCTTTCATAAAAAATTTACTATCAAACGATTTCTCCTTACAGCCTTTATACTCAGAAATGTACGTATCCCTACAGCCTTTATAATCAGAAATATACGTAACCCATCCAAAAAAGGTCATTGGCACTTAGTCGTATAAAGAAAGCATTGACTTTGACTTTGTGACGCAACACCAATCGTTTCTAGAACCAGACTCTCTATAACGATATTAATTATATTCTTTACGACAGCTTACTTTGGCACACATTCATATCTAAAAAATTACGGTTAGGTCAAGTGTAGGTCTATATACGGCAGTATCTATAGACATATATACATATATGGTACATATATGTAGCGAAGTTTTAAAGTTTTTATTTCTTCCCCACTTCAGTTATGATTTGTCATATTGAAAATACATAAAGAGACAAAAGCCGAATGCAGCTTTTTTAATCAGTACATGTACTGTGTTTGTAAAGAGTTAATATTATTATTTAAGTTTAGTTTTTACAAAAGTTAATGAAACCCTTGTATCGTATATATTTATTTGGGTTAATAACTTTTTTTTGTAACACATAAAACATAAAATGCTTTTTATGCCCTAATATTTGTACAATATATTAATGATAAATGAGTTATTTGGATTCATCCCAAAATTTTAATATTTTAAAACATTTTAATTACTTTCTTACTGCTTTTAAAAATGTACAAAAACAATGCATGCCAAGTAGTTCATAAAAATGATTAGAAATGCAGTGATGTCATCTGAAAAAGTCATAAGTTCAACACTAAATAGAAAACTGAACTATTTACTTGCAACATTTGACACCAATAATAAAAATAATATAATAAAAAAAAGCATAATAATAAACAGAATGAAATATACAAGTATATACAGATATTAAAATACCTATCACCATTTAACAGAATGTTTGCAATGAATAGCATATGTATGTATCTTAATAGCAGAGATGATCTGCTCAGCAAATCAATGATAGGTAGGCATGCTATAAGACTGGGTTTACCCTATAATGACTTTTATTGTAGTCGTAGCTCTGAGGATGAGCAGGTAACTGTGCTCCATCTTATGTGTCTTTGTCTATCTTTAGCTAAGAAAAGATTTAAAATTTTTAGGGCTTCCTTTTTTTATCGACCTGATTGAGCTGTCATCCTGCGAAATTAGGGACTTAACCAAGCTTAAAGAATTATGAAGTTGGTTCATCTTTACCTAATGAGAGAGTCATAACCTTTTCGTGTGTTTGTCCTGACCTTTAGTCGATGTAAGAACTCAAGTGGTCATTTTTGGCAACGGGGCCACAACTCCAACCTAACCTAACCTAGTAGCAAATGAATATATTATTGGCAGAAATAATAAAGCTAGAATTGCTTTTATTCAGCTTACAAAGATATGTAATTGCAGCCACTTATCCACTTACACAAAATTTCGCATATCCAATACCAACACGAAAACAATTCTATTTAAAATTTTATTAAAATCCAGTCTAAAATTCAGACTTTTAAAACCATTGTCTACGAAGAATCTTGCGCATTCGGTGGTCTCCGATAATATTAAATTTTAATCTGTAGACTCCAGACAAGCGAAGTTAGAGCAACTACTATTAATGCAAAAATACTACACTAAACATGTGTTCCATTATGATAATATTATTAAACTTCTGTATTGTTCAGAATAAAAGCATAAAAATATAAAATAAATATAAAAGCATAAAAAATTTTGTCTGGTAGAGTACAGAGCGATATTGATGACTAGTCACCGCTTCTACTTTTTCCTTCTAGTCCACACCTTTAATCTTACACTCAATAATTAACTCACTTCTGACACTGAACGAGATGTGTAGAATCATACAAAATGATGATTTCAAAACTATAGGAAACACTAAAGAAATAAAAATTTAACTACAAAAGTCCAACTGGAAAATCTTAGACTTAATTATGTTAACAATAAATATTGAAGGATGCAAAAATGTTTGCTTATACCAAGGAGGTTTACCTACAGTTCAATATTCTAAAGTGATATTATTTTAAGAAAATCCTGGAAACAGGTATCTCCATACAAGATATATTTTTATTTTGCAATTAAAACATTTTATTTGCTTCTAAACGAACATGACTTTTTAATGACAATGTGTCAGTCTTCAAAACACTCTTAAGATGTCAAGCACGCAATTGTTTTGACTCAATTGTCACCTCTCGCACGATTCTGTAAATTGGCAAATTGCGCCGCAAACAGAATCTTTACAATTTATTGGTCAATCTTAAGTTATTTTATTAGAAAATTCAATTACTTTAATGAATTGGGCTTTCAATTAAATTTAATAATAGAACTTTTTGCATTCATTCGAAGTTGTTTACATCTCACACTACATTCAGCAAATAAAGCTAAGATTCTTCATCTTTGGTAATATTGAAATGAGAGCCAATATCCACATGTTTTTATCATATCTAAGAATTGACTAAGAATTCTATACTGAATTTATTCCATTTAACAAAGCTGCATTCTGCATTTATAACATTTTGGAGTAATGATAGATCAACCATAAAATTTCAATTCCTTAAGTTATGTGACCCATTCTGTGGGCCCTATATTAGAACGATTGGATTGTTTTAAAGTTTTTAAATATATGGGATGGGTGAAGGACTGAACTAATAGGAGAATGTCAATGATAGCTAGAATAGCTATAATTGGACCAAAGGAGTTTAATAGAAAGTTTTTTATAGTCCACTAATTGAATAAATATATATTAAATTATAATATAAATTAAAACATTTTGTGGAAAAATAGGGAACAGGATCAGGACGGTTTATACTAAAAACAAATCTTTAAAACAACAATTTTATTTATGTACCCATCTTTATTTATATAAATTTGTATTTGAAAGTAACATACTTTTTTGAGGTTATTTTCAAAATCTTATAAAAATGCACTTTATCTTCAAAAATTAAACCCAAATTTTCTATTATTTATTTATTCCGTAGTTAATAAGTTTCTGCAGTGTTTCTTTAGTTTCATTATCTAGTTAATATAAGCAATATTATAAAATATATAAACAAAAATATATCAGAATTTTTTAGTTTATATAATGTAAAGATTATATTATCCCTCTGGATAAGTTACTAGAGATGTAGTACATTATTTAAGGCGGAACTCGTTATTTTAGATAGGAGAGGCAATATACATATATCTATATCTATATAAATATATAGAAAATATATCTAATATATTTCTGTGGCTTGGTGAATATTTTCACTAAATATTTATGTTTAGTTTATGAATGTAAGTGACCATCTTCTTAACTATCTTTAAGTTTTTGATTAGATAGAACTGATAAATATAATTTAATTTAAATAATTTTATGTATTTCAAATCATAAGTATTGATTTATTCCAATTATATTTAATATATGTTATATATTCAATTATAAATCGATTTAATGATCATATTGCAATGTATGTAATCACTTTACTGGTAAATAAAAAAGACCAGGTTTGATCTACAATATTTCCAGAAAGGCAATAAAAACCTATTTTATATAATTTAATGACAGATATATTATATGAATACTTTATTTTTAAAAACTGTTAATGCGTCTATATTTTGCAAAAAAAAATTAATATATAACAAAACTGAAAAAGCAGTTAACAACCTATGAGACAAAGTTCCATCTAGAATGACCCATTAACAGAAACGTAGTAAATAGATAATATGTGAGGTTTTTTAATATAAAGCATGACCAGAAAGCAGTATTAGGAACATTCGAGAAAACGTTTATTCTATACAGTCTGCATCTGAATTAATAGGTCTTAAAAACTTTAATATCTTTATAATAATTCATATTCTGAGAATCGAATCATATAATCTAGTAAAAAGGTGCGATGGAATCTTCAGTGGAGTGATATAGTTAAGGAATCAGTGCTATCACTGGATGAATTATGCTGCAGAAAACACGAATTAAGCAGATACGCCTGAAAAAAGGTTTCATATTAGAGGTAAAGACGACAAAAGGTTATTGAATCACTGAAGTTAAATTTGCAAATCGAACTAGCACACCGAACTATCAAATA